GTTAACTCTTAATTCTCGTTAGCTTATTCTTGGGTGTTAGCTGTCTAACACACAGGTACCGTTGCTTTTAATATACAAAATATATTCTAAAGCTGTATAGAAAAATATCTCTCTAGTCAATTTTTCTCTCACAAAAGTCAGCACGTGGAAAATTCATGCACGTAATCGCAAGGCAAAAACTGGAGTATGACTGTGTTTACAAACAAAAACAAAATTGAACATAGTACAATGATTTGAAACAAGGAAATGCATGTGTGTGTGCATGTGATTGGACTTCACCCAGCTCACAATCTTTACAGATATCGCGTTTATCTACTAGAGCTGTAGGTGCACGTCGCCCAGGACATGTGCCAGTTCTGTGTCCAGTGTAAACACATTGAGCCTGAAGAAGGATGAGTCCCAGCAAGTCCATGAGCAGCTTCCGCAGTCCGCTGAGGGCCAGCAGAAACGGCCGTGCAATAAAAACCAGTGAATATGCACAGCGGTGTGAAATAGCCTACTGGTGCACTACTGGTAGCTTTTTATATATTTTATTAATGTGCTGCAAATTTTCAATAATTATATTCCACACTTTTAGCATGTATGACTGTAATGTATGCAAAAATGACATGCTGTGTGTTCTTAATAGCATATTACCATAGGACCTGTAGGACCAACTCAATTATATGGGAACCTTTCTAGAAAGGGTCATGTTAAGCTATCTCTATCTTCCAGAATATGCATCCTATGTGCATACTGCAGCACTAGCTGTGCCAGTTACTGGGGGAATGGACCTAGGCCCAGCTGCTCTTGTAAAACTATTGAAAGTAATACTGAAAGTGATCCTGAAAGTACTGAGGTGTGATTCTGTACGTGGGTGTGGAATTTTAACTGCGAAAGGGACTTTGTGGCTTTACTCTAATAACATCTGACTGCTGCAACCCATAACCCTTGCAGGCTTATTGTTGGATGACTGAAACAGGGGGTAAAATCACAGAGGAAAGGCTGTCAAATTTCCAGCACCCCTTTTCTCTGTATGGATGTTGAGTGGGGTGGGGAACTAAGCTTGCCCATTCCCCTGAGTAAGGGAATTTCAATGTATATGTCACGGCGGAATGTGAGAAGGGAGGATCCACATACAGCAGTAATCAAACTGAGGGAACTTTACTTTAAACAGACACACACAAAGGATAATAAACAAAAAGACTGTTAGGGGTCAAAACTGGAGGCAGGGAGAATGGATAAGGAGGGTTAACTAAATACTAGGTATCACGTGTAATGGGGAAACCAAATGGGAAACCAGTGTGGGTGATAGAAACGAGAGAAGACACTGTGTGGCCAACACGACAGACACAGACAGATCATGACATCATCCAAACGCAGATGCATTCATTACATTAATTTGTGTTAATAGTATTAGCAAAGATTTCTAATAGAATTTAATTTCTATACTGAATAAACAGACTATAAGATTGTATATGCGATTAATTACCGAGGCATACGATTAATCCTGAATTAAATAATAATAATTGTTTAACAGCTCTATTAACATTTCTTTCTTTTATCACACTGTACTAACCTAATAGCATCTTTGACACCTTTACCCCCCCATATCATGTAGCTTTTCTTTGCTGGCACTGCGGAGGGGGTCAGTACTTGTAGGGGCGTGAGCGAGCGAATTTCACTCCAGTAAAATCGGCTGGTCGCCAGCTGCCTATGTCATATATAAGATTGACTGGTCTTCTTGGCCAATCCCATTTTCAGACTTATTCCAGTTAGCCAATCAACTTGAAAAGCCTGACCAATTGGTATTTTGTATTAGATTCTCTGTTTTCCAAAGTGAAAAATTAGTAGAGATGTTGACAAGCCAGATCGAAAAGAAACTTGAAAACCTAGATTTAATGCATCACTTTTTCCTCATCCCATCCCCCTTCACCAAAGTGTCTTAATATAGATATAAAAAAAGGATGTGAGAATCAGAAGATTTTTGGGTAGCTTGATGACTGCTAAGGATGGACCATGTACCCAACCGAGTTACCGTGTGGTGCTCTGAATGAGCAAATGATTTTTTAAAATTAATAAATTCTATACTTATAATGTAATGAGCTCATGGGACAACACTAGCCACACCTAGAGCTAGTTAGTCTTATCTCTTGTCCCTACCCTCCTGTTAATCATTCACAGCTGCCTTGTGTTTGATCCCTCGTTAGTCAGGTATATTAGAGTCTCCCGGTGTTGCGCTCCCAGTTTCGCCATTGTTACCTGTCAGCATGTTGTATCCTGTCTACGCCTTTCAATAAAGACCCCTTTCACAGGTTTTGCTCAATCAGGTTAGCACGCATTTAAATGTTTGTGCGGATTAATTCAGATTCTTCTATAGGTGATGAATAATGTTAAAATAATGTCTTAATTATATTACATTCTTTTCTTGGGTGACAATGCAAACTGACTGTTGCTCATTTATACATATTATTCATATATTTTGTATTTGCGTTTTATTCATTTGTTGAAGGTTTTTGTTCAAAGTGACTTACACAACAGCTGACAAATGCAACTAGGCTCAAAAAACTTGCAAATGACACAAATGCAGTCATGTGCTTATACTCATCATAACAAGTGTCACTTCCTACAGAAGCCCCACACTTCTTAAGAAAATGAATATGGAAATTCTAAACCATATAAAACATTTTAAGAAATAAATGCATTGAAGTCATAATGGAATCAACATGGTAGGTTTTGGAGTATTAGAAATTTAAGGTAATAAATGGTGGTAGATGCCCATTTTCCTGGTGGGACGGGCACATGGGCCGGCAAAATTTATGCGGTCCCGCCTGATTGTCAAGAAATTTAATCCCAATCCAGCCCTGCTACTGAACCACGTGCCTGCAGTAATCCTGTCGGTTCTGTTCCGTTTCTGATTTTTCACAATTTAAAGCCTGTCCCAAGCTGCTCAGGGCAAAATGAAGGGTGGTTCTCAGGAAGAAATCTTCTGTTCTCACTTTCAAGATGGTTCTGCTATTCCAAAAGAGGAAGCTTCAGAAGATCATTTTGGGGAAAACACAATTATACCTGTAAGCAAATGGTTACCCTGCTGAAAAAAACCAGCATGACCAGCATAATGTATGCTGGTTATACCAGCATATGTTGTGTCTTTGTGCTGGTGGACCAGCATCATTAATGAAATATTGCTGGTGGTCCAGCTTCAAGTGCAGGTAGAGCAGGCCAGCTATGTTAGTCCACCAGCTAAACCAGCAACTAACCAGCACAGACCAGCAGGGAAATCATGCTGGTCTGTGCTCTTTTGTTTTGAGCACGGAAATGTTTATGAAAATGTTCAAAATGTTTAACGCAATTAAAACTTACTGTCTTTCAATAATAAATTTAGTCATTAAAGTCAACTGAATTAAAATGTCATTCCCCCTCCACACACAAGCTGTGATACATCCATCATTTTCATTTAGTACTGTCAGGTACATAGTTACGAACAAGCATTCATAAATGTTTTATTACATAGCATAGTACAGAAGTGTATATACAGCGGCAATCAAAATTACAGAACAAGGGGTGTTTTTGTAATATAGAAAGTCACAGCTTATCCGACTTCAATGTTATTCTATCACAAATAGATGTATTTTAATCATATTTCATCAGTGAAAACTATGGTTTAAACAAAAAATGTGAAGGGACAGGATCTAAATTAGAGAGAAATTTGTTATACTTCACAGTTTTTGGATCTAATCTGAAATATTTTGAAATATCTGGCAACCCCAATCTATTTGGCAACAATGGTAGCCATTTTCCAAGATGGTGGACCTCTCCAAGGTGCCTGAAACCCTGTGATGTCATCTTGTTCAGATGAAGCCTAATGGGATGACCCTCTTAGCCACTGGAAGAGAAGTTATTTGATCCAAGAGCTTCCTTTCTCAAATATTGAAGCTGTACAATAAAAGTAAGCTGGAATTGCTCACCAAATTAGTTCTGGGCAGGGCGAGAACTTGTCTTGAAAGGGTCACATCATCTGGGTAGATATGGACTGAAAGGCCACTCTCTGGTGACCAAGTCACTCAGCAAGAAGACTGAGAAGGATAGACTAGCCGTTTGCTGGGGAGAATGTTATGTGGGCAGAGGAGAACCGGTCCAAAGTTAATTTCCGTGATGAAAGCAAGTTTAATTTAGTTAGTTCAGATGGGAAACATTATTTGTGGCGTTGAATTGAGGAAAGACTCCACCAAAAGTGTGTGAAGAAGTGGGAAGAGGTGGGAGGGCAACGAGTCATTGTATGTGGTATGTTCTCTGCTGCAGGAGTCAGGCCTCTCATACGGCTACATTGTAAGGTGAATGCTAAAGAACATCAGAACCTCCTTCTGCAACATGAGGTTCCTTCCTTACGAGCATCACCCAGTCAGCCAATCACTTTGATAGAAGACAATGTGAAGCAACTCCTCAAAGCTGAGAACATCCAGGTGATAAAATGGCCAGCCCAGAGACCTGTTCTAAACCCTATCAAGAATCTCTGGAAGGCAACTGGCAACAAAATTATGGTAAACAAGCCCACTACAGGTACTTGGAAGGAACTTGAAGACGAGTGGGACAACATCAAGTCAGAGCAGTGTAAGAAAGTGGTTGTGTTGTGGGTTCCGATGTGCCAGTCATTGAAAAAAAGGGCTTCTATGCTTCCTTTTAATTTCTGAACCATATAAAAGTTGACAGAATTTATTTATAAGGTTCATCTACAATATATATATATATATATATATATATATATATATATATATATATATATATATATATATATATATATATATATAACTGTTCCCTGATTTTGATTGCATGCGTTCTTCAAATTTCTTGTTTGTGAAGTGGCATAGCTGACACTGATGAAATATGATTGAAACACATCTCTTCATATTATAATGATTTTGAATCCGGATAAGCTGTGACTTTGTATTTCACAAGAAGTCTCTTGTTCTCTAATTTGATCGCCTCTGTATACAATGAGCCCTACACAGGCAATCAAAGTTTTACGCTCACACAGGATGCACCAACCGGCTTCGCTCTGCTCGCCCCGCTACGTTGTCCTATTTTGGGGCGGCGTGCTGGTCACGTGTTGGGAATCGAGCAGCAGGGTGGCGGCGGACGCCTCGGTAGCGGAGTGCGGGAGTGCGGACTGCCTGCCCGCATGCCAGTGAAACATGGATCCAGGTAGGGTAGACTGAACACCAACAGAAAACTTTTTCCTCCAGTATTGCTGCCTAGTTTTCTTTCGATTGAATTTGATTTTCCGATTGCATCTAATAACGGAATGCTACATGCAGATGTTGTTTAATGAGCCAAGCTGTTTTTTTCTTAAAAAATAATAATAATGGGAAGTATTATAATATGAGCAAAAAGAATGTGATCAGAGTTCGGGAACCAACTTCCACTGATACGGTTTACAGCTCTTTATTCTTTAGTTGTTATTATTATCATTAGCTAGCTTCCGTGCCATTTCTGCACTGCCTAGTTACGGTAGATGAAATATTTTTCAATGTATACGTATTACCCTTCGTTGAACAGTTACTTGGCTATTGACTTATCGCAGAGGCTGCACATTGCGTTTCACTTAGACTTCTCTGTTGTCCCTTTACCTTCCATTCAGCTAGTTAGCCACCTTTGCGTTTGTGCTGGATCTCCAGCCTACGTCGCAGATTTCTTATCCTCAGGTCTGTCATCCTATTGATGGTGTTTTCGTATATAATATTCAGCGATTACAATGACTGTCAGTCGACAGAATCCGTATCATTATAAAAATGTTATTTCTCCTAAGAGACCGCCCCGAATCCTTTGTCGCCATATGAAAACAACGCAAAGGGCTGGATTCGTGCGTGCTAAGTCACGTGACACCAAGAATGCTGTATTATTATTTGGGAATTACACTCTTGTATTTTTTTTTCATGCGTTTTATGTAAGGGTACTGTGGATGAAGCTATACTACAAAATATTTTTGCTACAGAGGCAAATATCACTCATCACACTTGATATTTATTTTTTTCTGTAAACAAAGTAAACGCACTTATTAAATGCACTTCCACGAATAACATCAAAGTCTGCTTGGTGGTTAACAAGGATTTCGTCTGCTGCTGCACCGACAAGCTCAACATTTTGACAATTCCACTGAAGACAAAAGTCACATTACATACAGTAATTATACAGTACTGAAAATATGCAGTGTATAGTCCACTGTGCCAGCAAAGCAATTCTCTGTTCCTCTTTTGTATTTTGGGGGTTCTTGTGATGGGGTTATCATCTGACTAGTTCTCACATGGTTATCATAATGAATAGCTATATTTTTAAAGATCTAGTTGGACTTCATTGACCCCTTGGGGAAATTCTGGTGCATACAGCAGCGAGAACGTTGTGCACAGACAAACAAACATATAGTGCAAGACAGACGTGGTGCAAAGAGTGCAAACAAGTAAACAGGGTGCAAACAAATTAAAAAAGTACACAGTACACAAATAGAATATCCAGAACAACAGAATATTGTAATATCATAGAAATATATATTTAAATATAAATTAATTGTTGGTATATGTGTAATTAAAGAACAGATAGCATTGGATTTTCATTGTACAAGATGGGTCACTTGCTGACGTGTAATGGCTGAGGTGCAGGAGTGGCATGTTGGGAGGAGGCATTGTGGTGTCTGATGGCAGCAGGCAGGAATGATCCCCAGTAACGAGATTTAACACATTGCAGTGGAATGTGCAGGTGGCTTAATGTCTCCCGGATAGCGCCCCCTGAAGGGGATGGGCAGAACTGTTCATAATCTTGTCCAATTTTGCCAACATCCTCTTCTCTGGTACTGGCCCCAGTGCTTCCAGGGTGAGTCTTGTGATGGAGTTGGCCTTCCTGGTGACATAGGTGTTAAGTCCCATGGTTTAACAAATTCGACTTCAGTGTTTTCGTCTTTTCTGCTATCTCACAGGTATGTCATGCACTTTAACCAAACAAAAAAGTTTACTTCCATAACAGAAATCACCTGCTGCAAAGGCTTATCTGATTACATATGAAAATATGTACCCCCCCCCTTTACCCTCCCTGCATTCATTTGCGGGTTATAAGCGATACGGCGGGGTCTCTGCTGCCAACCAGGTAGTAACATTTATATTTTTGAATCCAGTTATATTCTGTAGTTACTATAGGTCTGTTTTACTGGTCAGATTTTTTTCAGTGTCTGTCTAACTGCAAGTGTTATTTTGTAGTAATATTAATAAAAGCAAAAGATTTGAGCTTAAAAGAGTCTTTTTTGATGGCTCACAATTTTCATGGAAATGTACAAGTTTTCCATCACCCAGCTCCCTGTTTTTACTGCAGTTCGGTTGACATGTATGTGATGAGTTTATTCAGGCCCTTAACCTGCCATCGCTTCATCCTGGGAATGACGTTAATCTACATCCAGCCCTATAAGGAGGTCCTCCGTCTTACAGGGAAAAACTTGGGGGTTGGTGGCAGAATTGGCACTCCAGCCACTAGAAAAAAAACTCACACTGGTCCATTCGGACTGGTGTGGTGCTGAGGTATCACCTGTCACATGACTGCACTCAGGTTCTCATCCCTGAGATGGTTTGTCATGTGGTGGGTGTGGCAATGCACTGTAATCAGGGCATGCTCCTTACACACCATAATCAGGGCATGCTCCTTACACACCGTAATCAGGGCATGCTCCTTACACACCGTAATCAGGGCATGCTCCTTACACACTGTAATCAGTGCATGCTCCTTACA